TTTTGGTTTTAGATGAAGTTCATATCCATCGAGATAATCTCATTGGTAAACTTATAAACTTTATTAAGTCAGTTATTTTAGCAAAATATCGATATCGATATCATTATGGATAGGTAACTTACCGATAGAGATTTCATTTGAAAATCATTAAATTGAAAATCATTTACCCATGTCAAAATATCTGAAATTCAAGATACTTTAAGAGAATTGTTCATATTTCAAGAAAAATAAAGTTTTTAGTGCTAAAATAAATGATTTAATAAAGTTAATAAGTTTACCGATGAGATTATCTCGATGGATATGAACTTCATCTAAAACCAAAAGAGACTCTTTTGTAGAGAATTTAATTTCCTGTAAGCCTGTTTTCATGATTTTTTATCTAAATTTAAATACTGTGACAAACATTCCAAAAAACTATAATTTTATCGAAAAATGAACTTCAATTGGCCGTCGGCACGTGTTCTTTTTGTTAAAAATCAAAAAGCAAAATTTTTCCCGTAGTTTTTTGTGAAAAGGAAGGATTTTTTTTCAAAACGAAAAACTATAATTTTATCGAAAAATGAACTTCAGTTGGCCGTCGGCACATGTTCTTTTTGTTAAAAATCAAAAAGCAAAATTTTTCCCGTAGTTTTTCGTCAAAAGGAAGGATTTTTTTGGGCGTCCGAAAGAATTTAATTTTTAACGACCACCCTAGTACACATATAAGATTATAAATTCAAAAACTGTAATCAATTTCTTCGGTAAGTGCAAATTGAATTATTGTGTCAAATAAAAGAATCCTACGTCAACCTTTTTATAAAATAAATTCCACGATCGGTCAGTGTGTTTCCGCATTCAAGTTGGCGCTTTATGTTATTAGTGGTAATGAAAGTACCGTTTATCGTCTCTCGGTCACTAAATTCAACTTTTTTTGAAGTAATGAACGACCACAGTGTGAAGCAGAACATTATAATTTGTCCTTATTACCGTGTAGGTACGTACATTTATTCTACAATTTAGTTGCAGGTTCTTACTGAATATTTCTATTAAAAATAATCAGGCCTTTATCCAATTATGGATTGCCTTCTAAAATATTTACTTGCTGTTACATGGGCGTTCGTAATAAGAGGGGCAGATGAGGGCAACTATACGTACGGCTCCACTTTCTAATATTTAGATATTTCACTATCGTTCAACGTTAATTTTACGATAATACAACTACAGTTATAGATAATTTCACTAAATGTGTGGAGCTCTTGCCTTTTCCCATGATTATTATAATTTCAGCAATAAATATCAGTCTGCTACAAGTATGTAAAGTTTATGTAAAATCGAAATCTTATATATCTTTGGAGAACATTCCACTCGTGTGAAATTACAGTTGTATCTATTAATAACCGAACAAAAATTAACGATATATTTGAAGATAAAATTCTGTAAGATTTGAACATAACCATCGTTATTATTATTATTTTGTTATCGTTAATTTAGAAATTCGAAAAATATTGTTAAAG